CAATCACGGAATTTGACTGAAGTATCTCACAAGGATCTAAAATACTGTAGAGGTGACTTCGACAAAGTCAATCCGATGCAGTGGAGCAGTTCATCTTGAGGAGTAAAAGTCGAGTTTTGCGAGAAACGTGTGAAAAAACGAAACGTCATTTCGATCAACTGTGTGAAGATCAACGTTTATCTGACGGTGACAAACGAGTTAATGTTTACTTCGGTTGTTTAGATATTGAAGTAAGTTACCTGAGCCGTTGACTTGAATAAAACAATCGATTCGTTTGCTATTATTCAGCCACAGCTTGCAGCTTTCAGAAGAACTTGCGAATCAATGGGAAAAAATTAAGCGAGAAATACTATGATGACGAGACTGATCAACTGTTCATACAGCTACTCCTTGCGTAGTTCGAAAGATGAAATTTGAAGATTCATTCAAACGGAAAGTTGGCTAACTTGGTCTTGAGTACTCCACTCTTCAGCTAGCTTTCCAGACGCCTGCTCAGTAATCTTGCCGTTTCTAACGATTCTCGTGACAGTTGCGACAGCAGCGCGGTCTTTTTCAAAATTGAAAGTTATCAAATGTTATCTGCGAAATTCGATGATGCAGGAGAGATTGGCTGACCTTAGCGCGTTGTTCGTAGAGAGTAAAGTGACGAACTCGTTAAAAGCGATCCTGGGCGACGTTATACGTAGATAAGTTCGTTAAAGCGAAAGTCCACAGCGCTCGATGCTGAATTTGGTGATTATGATTAATTAAGTTTCTTTCAATTAGTTTTCAGCTCGCTTTCTTTAGTTAAACAATATTTTTTTGAGGTGGAGGAAGCAATTTAGCTTTTGAGCAGGGACCCCGGATGGACATGGCATAAATCCCTCTTCCTTATCCATTCTTATGCTGTTGCAACCACAGAAAAAAATGTTTTCCAGACCAAATTGTTCAGACCAGCTCTGGTTGTGTAAAAAAAACAAAAACAAATCGCTCTTTAGGAGAAGCAGTAACGCATGTAAGTTTTTTTCTTACAATGAGTTATCAATACCCCAACAGTTCTAAAACTCTTTGGAGAAACGAAGACAGGCTTTTGCCCCCTCCTTTTGTCCTAGAAGATGCATAAGGCTTTGCGGCATTACTCCAGAACGCCTGAGTAGCTAATACACGCGAAGAGTGAGCGTGACTGTGTGACCTTAGGGTCAGTCCATAAATTATGAAACGCAAATTTGGATTGTTTTGAATACTCCCTCTTTCCTTCCCCTGTAACGCACCTGTAATGCTCGACTGAAACCCGCCTAAAGTCGTGCACACACCATCATGGATGACGCTTGAGCGAGTGTCTATCGCACCAATTTAATTGGATTGTTGTATATTTTGTTAGATCAGATTTAAATATTTTATTATTAAACTGATTCAACCAATATGCAATTGAAAAAACTTCCCTTTATTGTAATAAATTTTACAATATAAAGTTATTTATATTTTTTAAACTTAATATGTTAATGTATGTAAAGTTTTATATAAGACATAATGAAATAAAGAACTTCAGAAAATGTTAAAAAGAAAAATAATTGATTCTTGGATTAAGCAAGTGTAAAAAAATTAATTTCTTTAAATTAGAAAGGAATAAATATACATTACAGAGCAAGGCTGCTTATCAGAAACAAAAGCAATTACAAGCAAAATTAAATAGTTAAAACAAGTTGAATCTTGTAACATTAGAAGTGTGATTAAAGAATACGTTAAAATGTAGAGGATGAGAATATTATCTTAAATTGTGATATCAACAAATCAAAGAAAATATTGCAAATATCAATACCTCTAATAAGAGCAACTCAAACTACAAAATATTTCTCAGAAGTTAAGCCACAATAATATTGGCCCTTTTTCAGTTATATGAAATTTCAAATCTTTCATTTGAATTGCAATGACAATGCTTTCAGATCAGTTAAAGTTTTTCTCACTTCATGAACATGGTCATGAATTTCCACTACAAAATGGTATTCAGGATTTCTTATTTCTTGGGTGAACATTTTTACAGCAAGGGAATCTGGTTGGAAGAACTTGCAAATCAATGTATTATTGTTTGAAGTGGAAACAATTTTGTAGCTCAACAATTTAGATTTTGTAAATGACCAATGTATTGTTGACTTTTCTTTAGTAGTAGTTGTTTTTTGTTTTTTTTTTATTTTTAAAAAAAAATCCAAATACTACTTTAGAGTCATTCCATGTCAAATTGAACACCATTTTGACCTTAGGTCCTCGAAATTGATTGAAACTTCTTGAATGTGTTCTGATGATAATTAAATGAGGGTCATGTGTCAGAAGAGAAGAGAGAAAGTGAAATGAAAATTAATGAAATCTCTTCTGGATAGAATATGGTAAATGGCGTGAAAGGATCTTTCAGAACATAATTCAAAAATTATTAATGAAAAACAAGCAAGTAGTAGTGAACACAAGCAAATAGTAATGAGAAACACAGCAAATAGTAACGAACACTGTTAATCAAATTTGATACATACAATGTATACATTGAATTCGCTAGTTTTAAATATTTTACTGAACACCTTACCTTAATATCAGAATTTTACATAATAATTTTTAGAATTTATGCTGTCTGAAATTTTCAAAGAAACTGTGCGCAACAACAAATAAAAATGCTTTTCTCTCTCCTGACACATTTATCATGAGATTAGTCTCAAACAAAATCTCAAACACAGTTATTTAAAACTATTTATAGTTGGTTAATTGTTAAATATCAATAATTAATTATAACTCAATTAATTTTAAATATTTTGCATAAATAATATTTTATTTTAAAAATAATATTGTATTGTCGGTTTAATGAACTTCAAATGTGCAAAATTTCCAATTGGGATATTTATGAATAACCTAATTAAAAATATTAATTGAACGTATGCACAGCCACATAGTGTACCGCGGGGATGTTTCAATATTAGTACTATTTCGAACAGTGGAGATCGGAATGAAAAGTGGAGTTTGCATGATCTTAAAACATTTTTAAATATTTAGGTACGACTACATCTTACTTTTTATTTTGTAGCTAGGGTGAAATGCTTTTTCCCCCGTTTGTTATTGCTGACTGTCTGAAAATGAAAACGCTTATTCTGTCATTGACAGACCCAGCACAGGCAATTCATATTGCTCTACCAGATGTAAACAGAGGCCCTTCTTCAAAATTCAGATAAGCACCCTGGCCAAGGTTTCTGCAAGTATATTTTTCTTTCCTTGAGTTTGGTCCCACTATGGCCACATCATGACGAGCTACATACTGTGCTGTCCGGCAGACCCAATTTGATTTGTAAGAGTGGGCTGTGCAGCAAGTGTAAACTATGTTTACTGCAGGTTTTACATAATTTGTTTTAGACTGTTAACACAATGAGTAATATGAAACACCCAAGTCATGACTTTAATTTTAATACGTTCCATCTCAAATATCACTGTGATAGATATAAGAAGTTAACCTATTCCATCATCATTCAGAATTCAGTTCAAGGAGCACATTGGAATTCAGAACTGGCTCACACTTCACCCCTTTGCTATATATTTCAAATATAATAATCATCAAAGGCACAAAAGTGTAATAACAATTTCTGAAAGCCTAAAGCATGCTACAAATGCAGTTTACCTCTTCCAGAAACATTTGATTGAATTTCCAAAAGTTGAAGTAGGTAATGTTAAAAAAGTAATATATATTTCAGATGGAAGTGCTCAACATAAAAACCGAAAGCAGTTTGTTATTTTGTTTTCCCAAAAAATATTTTAGTGTGAATTCTGAACGGTATATCTTGACTACTTTCCATTGCGATACCACCAAAAGATTGGGTATGCAAGAAAATCTGGAACCATTTCATGAGCCAATTATGACACAACAGAAATTATTTGAGTGGGCAAGAAAATGTTAGTGGTATTTATGATTTTGACAATTGATGATCCGAAAAAAGGATGTGACTTATTGAAGTCCTGGTATGAAAAAGTGAAACTAGTTTTACAAAAGTACAGTTTTGTGGATCTATTGTTTTATTAACTTTTGTAAAATGAATATTAATGAATGAATGAATATGAATTCCAACTACTACTTCTTCAATTTCAACTACTTGTTCCTAACAGTCTCATTTTAATGATAAAAAGACCTCATGCACTGGACTTCATAGGGCGCGAACATGGACGCCCTGTCCTCCACATGCCAGATGTTTGATTGGGAAAGTTAATTTATTACAACTGTATTTATGCATATCCCATTCTGAAATTTTGCATAATCATACAATAAAAGGTAGGGAATTTAGAGATTTTTTTAAAATTTTTTAAAAAGATTTTGCCAACTATAAAAAAATTAAAAGTTATAGTTAAATATTTTTAGTTTATTTATATATGAAAAATAAAAAATTTCAATTTACGTATAATTTTAACATAACTATAATAAAAAAACGTGTTCTAAACCATGAAATGAATCTAGTTTGAATTCTTTATAGTTTTTTAAAAAAAGCGATACGAGCATTTACATATCACAGTATGTGTGCTAGTTTGTAACTTCAGACTTCGGATTACTCTGAAGATATGCAACTTTTATGAAGAAGAAAAAAAATAACAACTGAGAGTTGATTTTTGCTATTACAATGGATTCACAAAGTAAAAAAAAAGATAAAAACATCAGAATACAAGGTCAATTTTTTGTTGCATTTGTTTGATTTGAAATGACTCATTATGAAAATAGAAGTGAGTGGGGTAAATGAAGCTTCCTATAAAATTATCATGTAATTCATTATCATGTTCATTAAGGTACAAAAATACACATACAGTAGAATCCTCATTTAACATCCCTGCATTACATTCCTGCCAAATGTAAAAATTAACTGGGTCCAAAAACCAACACTATGAACATCATGTATTATAGGATTCTGTTTCCTTAAATGCAAATTTAGCAAAAAAACTACAAAAAAAGAGGGGGAAAAGTGATTATCCCTTATGGAGAAAAACTAACAAAATGAAGAAAACAATACTCTCTCTTCAGCTAATACTAATGCACGTCCAATATGTGGCAAGGCATGGCTTTCAGTCTTCAAAATTAACAAAAAAAAAAAAACAACTGCAGGTTGGTTTGTGTTATCTGCAAAGGCCATCCACAGTCTCCACACCAAAATGAACATGCGTAGGGAAGCATCTGTGCGGTAAGTAATTTCCATTTCAAGCTCCAACATTTTGTTCTTCGTTCTCATGTTGCTCCACATTGGTTTACTGATTAGCAGAATATGATAAGAACCAAAAAACAAATGCGAAATTTACTGAGCAAGGAAAAAAATGTAATTTAGAACCATCAATTCTACTCACAGCTCTAAAACAGAGCTTCAGGTTACCAACAGGAATAATTGCCTCCTTTTAACTTTAGCAAGATCTTTCCAACTCATTTGTAAAAATATGTTAATTTTGTAATGTTTATAAGTTTAATTAATCATGTGAGAGTATTTATTAATATAACTCAGTTTCTTTTGTTTGTTTTTTTGATGCCCATTTGGATTCAATGCAATCAATATTTATTGAAAACCCCCATCACAGAAAGAGAAATAAAATCCAGAGTGGTTCATTAAATATTCTACTGAATGTAAGTGGAAATGTAAATACTAAGTAAGGTTAGTTATATTTTAAGTTTTTTTAACTACTTCATCATTGCAGCCTAAACACATGTACAGGTTTGTGAATTTCAGGAGGTTGAATTAAAAACAAATGGTAGTCCATCAATTACATATTGCGAAGTAGTGGGGGAGGCAGTTTGTGGCAATGTCACGCTGTGTTACTTGGGGACAGAGAATGTTAATCGAGTGTTATGTTATGCTGATATTTAATTTTTAAAATTTTCAATATTTGATAGAATAATTATTTTTATAGTTTTATCCTGAAACGAAACATTAAAATAATAATAAATTAAATGGAAAAAAGTGTTAATAATTTTAAATGTTATGAATAAATTGTTACAATACATGGAAATATTTTTCTATCATCTAATTGAGTGTTATGTAATGAAAAATATTATCAAAGCTGATTTATAGGGTATTCTAGAATTCAATTAAATTAGCGAAATAGATTCTTGTCCATGCATCCAACCTGAAACTGTGTGCATGGCTTCTCAGAAATTTTCTTGCTTATGTGCCATTCCTTGACTAAAAATTTGTCTTCGATCTTAACTTTAGCTGCAGTCATGATTATCCATTAATTCTGGCTTAATCATAAATTTTGATACATAACACAAATAAAATGAAGTGCGAATTGTTTGTAAAGATATATAATTTATTTTTACTTATGTAAATGGGGGAATATTTTGTTATGTAATTATTTAAGAGAGTTGGAGCACACATTGTGGAGTGCTACAAAGGGGTGAGGAGGAACTCAAAATACTCCAAATTTGCATGAATAGGTACTTTATGGATAGACATTTTCAGCATCATGCTTAAGCGAGACTTTGATTCCAAATGTTTTCACAACTTTCACAGAGAAGAAAAAAAATCAACAGAAATAACATGCAGAACAAAACAATTTTCTACATTAAAACATTGCAAAAAGTTATAAGTCATTTTAAAGGTACACGCAAGGCATGATCAATCTACAATTCACAACACATGGTAAATGAGGAGCACAGAGGGTAGACAGGTAGGTCAAACATCTAAGAGGATTTGCTACATTATTTGGTAGAAAATAATACTACCCATAAAGCAAGTTGAAACGGTATTTATTTGTCTTCTCATTGAGGTTTGTAAAAAACAGAATTCTGTTACAATACGGGTCTGTTTACAACTGATGTAATACAATACTCTGGGATAAACAGAACATTAAAAGCAAAGCAGAAAACAGAATAGGAATATTTCACTTTTGAAACATCAGGAATCTAGCAACACTATCCAAAGTGAATTCATGCTTTGCATGCACATTAGTGAAACAAACTTCCCCTGGACCAATATTACACCAGTATCTGCCCACATACATCAATGTGTAGCACATGTAGTTGTGGAATGATGAAAGTAAGAAGACAACCTCCAGGGCTTTGATTGCAGACAAATTCTGAGCTCACGGAATAACGAAAACAAAATAACAATAAACCATAGAATATGATTTAAAGTAATACACATTCCTCTCATAAACCACAAGCCTTCTATACAGAATATGATCTTTGTCACACAACACACTCCTCAAATATCTTTCACACTATTTAAAAGAATACATCAGTACTTGAGGAACTCTTGGAAGCTGTTCACCGACTTCAAGCGTATCAGCTGTATTATATCAGCTTCCAGATATCATCTACTAAAATAGCTATTAAAGTTGCACTTACAGATGTACTGCAATATCTGCAAACAGCGATACAACACTGCAATGTGGCTTTGAATTTTTTTTAACCATTTCAAAGAGGAAAGGTATCTATGAATTCATTGGTAAGTACACAGTATGGGTTCTCACATAAATTGAGATATGGAAATTTATAAGCAAAGAGATGTTACTGAACACACAACACAGAATTGAGAAAATTCAGAAAATAGCTGGTCATGAACTGCACAATTCTTCTTCCGAAAGCAAACACACATTAGGTCAATTTCAAGTTGTGCCTTCTGTATACGTTACACAATGACACAAGTCAGAAGTAGAAGCAAACAGTTGTAATTACAACAACAAAGCCCTTTTTACAACCAGCAATACACTGAACAGTTTGAACACAAATCTATGTTTTTATATTGTTTCTTGGGAAAGCTTCACGGCAAAGCAGCAACACAGTAAGTCAAATGTACAATCTGTCTGCATATAATATACTAAAATCAGAACTGCATTTAGTTTATACATATATATAGCAGACACAAAACTAGATATTGTTCAACAGTTCTTGAATTAGCATTTATTGAACAAAAGTAACTGCATGAACAAAACTTGACAATCTCCTTTCACTCCTAGATATTCTCCAATAATCTCACCATTGCCAGTGCTGCCAATAAAACATTACTGCTATATCACATGTGGAGCTCCAAAGAGCAATGTCTACTTACATAATGTTACATTATACAAAATGCCAATAGACGTATTTAAAAATTCGTAGCAAATGTCAAATGTTTCCTAGCTTTGGATGTACCTCACTGCACAGACTTTTCTTCTTTTCCATGAGCAGAAGTCCCTAGCCAATAAGGAGATCTGAGCAAAGTCTGATGCACTATGCTGCTTCTCCATGAAATATTCACAAATTAGAGTCTGCCTTAAGACTTTTGCCAAAACTTGCTGGCACCTCGCAGTCCCTTAACTTTGATAGTCTTCTTGCCTTTCTCACCACCTTGTGCTACAGCCTCCCTTGAATCTGTTGCCATGGCCTCTTCAGAGTCCTGCGTTTGAGTCTTCAAAGTCTTCTTAATATTTACAATCTGAAATAATTTCATAGAAATGTGAGCTCTCAACGTAAAATGATAAAGTGTTCTGAAAGATGGCAATGATTCATTACATCATAAAATAAGATGTGTAAGTTGTAAAATAAAGCATGCAGAAGATGAATATTTACTCTCAAGTGAAAGACATGATTTTTCTACAGAACCAGTTATTTCTTTCATTAAGAAAAAACAACTACATAAAGATATTATATTGTTCCTTCTGCAAATCAAATGCTTAAAATACATGTTAAAGTATGAATGTTGAACCATCTGACACAAATACATTTAATCGGTGGGCAAAGAACAATCTATGCTTGATACCACATTCTTCTTCACACAATTGTTAATGAGAAAATATAATTTTGAAATCCTTTAAAATAATTAATTTACTACCAGCATATTTAATGAAGTGATACAGAATGTTTTATAGAATGATATATATTGCATAAAATGAAGTAGACTATGGACAAAACTTATTAAAAAATAAAACCTTGATTAATTTAAAGTAGTGTCTTATTTTCTGAAACTAATTACAGGAAATATAAAATACATAGCACAAACATTTTGAATCATTTTTTTTATTGTTTGTATTGAGAAAAACACCACCATAATGCTGGGTGAGTAACAAACTAAACAACTTTTTTTTCTTGGGAAATAAATAAATAAAAACAACAACTAATACTGCATTTATATAAGACGAATTTTAATATATTTAGAGTATGAAACAGCAAACTGGAGACTTAATTATAATTGGGAAAAGGAATATGGATAATTAGGCAAGTTAATTGCACCTAAAATTTAAACAAAACTTTTGAGAATTATTAAAAGTTCTATACCAAATTTTAATAACCTTAAGTTCATATTTAGGTCACACTGTCCAATAACATATTTTGTAATTTATTATTTCAAAATATTAAATATATATTATTTTAGAAAATATCTCCCATAAATAATTACAATTTAATTTCAAAACCAGTCATCAAAAACCAAGGATTCATCAATCTAACCAGAATAGATTCAAGATGGTATTGCACTTCAAATGATCAGATGAGTCTTAGAATACTACTTTTTACTTTCTCGTCTTCTATGAAATTACATAGTAAAGAGAAAGAATTGTAAAGCTCCAGTGGAAAGTGGCAACTTTTCATCAGAAAAACTCATATAGTAGGACAATGACAGAAAAAAGTGGATGAATCTATTTCCTACATTTACTATATTACTTTACCATTTTGTGCTCAGAATCCAGGTTCTTGATAACAAAAATTTGATTTAAATCAAATTTCTGACCTTTCTTCTGCGATCAACATAATGCCAAAACAGTTCCAGACTATTTTTTTAAAAAAATGATCTTCCTCTATTCATCTGGCTGAACTCTATCTTTGAATGTGAATTTGAAATGGATAATTTGATTTTTAGGGGCACTTGACATCATTTAGCCTGAACAACAAATTCAAAATTTTCTCAAAAGTGACTTGAAATCTTTGGATTAAAGTTTTTCAAACAGAGTAAAGCAAGCTTGAAAAAATGGCGCAGGTCTAATTTTTGTTCTTTCTTTCCCTTTTCTTTTGAAAATTCTGTGAATTTTTTAAAACTACACAAGTTTTAATTTTTCAGCAATCTCCTACCACTACAATAGTAAAGATGTAGTACAGATGGAAGATATTTTTTCCTTACTGAAATCTATTCTTCAAAGTCTGATAATTAAAGAAGATCACCTAAAATTATTTGAAAATATGAGTAGTTTTCATGTAATTTTACGAACTATAAGCATTTCCTAAAAAATATATTAATAGAAGTTCTGTCCTGTTGTTCATATTTATCCAACAGTCACTAAAGGTCAAATAAATGTTAACACATCAAAAGTAAAAATTGACATGCTTCAGGGATTTGTTGTGCCCATCAGGCATCTGAAATTTAAATTTGAAAAGGAGTCAAGCAAGCAATATACTAATAACTAGTGGTTCTACAGAATGGCACAGACTTGCTTGTACTAGTTAGTTTTCAAATTTTTTGTTTGGGGCTAGCTTTTCCGACTTGCCACTTACTCTTGTTAACTGCCATCTTTCACTGCCTAAAGAACATTTTTGTGAAATTTTCTCCTATTTTTTTGGTATTACCGAAATATTATTTTAAGAATTTTAAAGAAGAGTAAAAGCTTGGTCTATATGGAAATTTCCATGGACAAATTTGGAGCCATTTTAAGAAAATGGTGATTAAGTGTTACTACAAATGCGAAATTTGAAGATCTTTTCCATAGAAATCTTTTGAGTTTTCGAAAAACATTATTGGAAGTTAAGTGCTTCCACTCACAAATTCAATAACATACACAAATTGCAGGAAATGTGCATTTTAAGGGTAGCAGAGATATTTAAAAAAAATTACATTTGTTTACTTTTTGAAAGAAAGAAATAGAATAGCCCAATATGAATTTTATGTCATTTTAAGCAGTACAATTAGCATGACCTATACAAAAGTTTAAAAAAATATTTGGAGCCATTTTTGTGAAAATGTCATTTGATCTTTTCTGAAAATGTGGAATTTTGAGCTATTTTCACAGAAAACTGTAGTTTTCAAGAAACTTTATATGACATCATTCAAAGCACTTGTTCTCATAAATGCAACAATGTGAACAAATGGCTACTAACGTAAATATGAAAAACATGAGAGACTACTTTTCTTGCCAAAAATTAAAAAAAAAATTAATTCTAGAAAACAACAAAAGAACAGAGCAAAATTGCATTTATGTCATCTGAAAGTTTGCATTTAGCAGTGTTCTTACCAAAAGTTTAAAGAAATCATTTGGAGCTGTTTTAGAGAAAATTTTGAAAATGTCACAAGGACTTCATGCACATTACCCCTAAAAATTAATGAAGGTTTTTCAAAATCGCAGAGCTTTGACTCAGGACAGATCAACAAGGGTTTCTTCAATTTGGAAACTATCGTATGCATGGTAAGCGCTAGTGTTGTTCACATAAACCAGATGGATGGACGTTTTGAAAACACCACTTTTTCGGTACCCCAAAATGTGTATTTCTGTTGAAATCTTGAAATCAACTTCCCATAGCATTACATTACTTTCTCTATACTACTTACTCCATATACACGTATGTATACGAAAATTAAAAATTAAGCAAGTTTCAATTTCTTTGAACTCTTTAAATTTGCGAAAATTGCAAAAGTTGCAAATAAGCATGTGTTGTAACACTACTATTTAATATTTTCAACACCACCTTAAAAAACACTAAGGATAATTAAGTAATATTCGGAACATTACTTGGCCAACGATAATTTAAAAATAAAATGTAATTGTTGAAAGTTTACTTCTTTTCATTCCAAAAATTTATCCACAAGTCTAAGTACGTCATAGGTAGGTTCTATGTAAATGTCATATTGAATCTCAAAGCCAATTGTGTTCTGAAAACTCACTTGAGACAATGCTCCAGAAAGTAGTAACTTTTAATTTATTCAAAATAATTATTATTTCTAGAATGTAATACAACACAGACTAATGCGTTGCTGGACTACCCAAAACAAAAGTAGTGAATTTCTCACCTCTTGTTCAATAGCTTCCTTGTGCTTCAATCGACGATTTTTCTCTGTATTAGCCCTATTGATCTGTGTCTCCACACATGACAACACAGCCTCACATGAATCACACCATTCTTGTAATGTGTTGACAATTGATCCAAGATCACCTGGTTGAATATCACGTCCAATTGCATAGTCTACTTCTAGCTGGCTATTCTTCTGATCCAGTTTCCCATGTATTATATCTACAAACATTTACATAATAAATGTTTAATAACACATCTTGAAACACAACCCTTGTTGAAAACAATATATTCTCATGCAAAAAATCACTCACACACACATTAAAAAGATCTATGAGAGAGATTTGTTGGCCATGAGTAAATTTTTTAAATTTATACACTTTCTCAATTTTCTTAAGCAGAAATATTCACTATATACAGTACACAAGTAGTTATTATGGGGCACACCAATCGATGTTCATGACTAAAGAACATAAATTTCATTTTCTATATTTATTTTGGTCTTCATATTTTAGCATGGAAAATATCACAAAGTGAGGGAATATCTAATTACTCTAAATCAAAACTATGAAAAAACGTTAAACTTTTAACCATACAAACTTAGATGTATCAAATACATTTTTTTAATGACCCTAAATAACATGTACGACGTTTTAATGGAACTATTTTAAATGTAAAAACATTACAAAACTATTATTTCAATTTGCCTTTCAATATTTTACCTACATCACTTATTCATAGTGCTATTTAGCCATTGCAAAATATTAATATTAAAGCAGGGTCAAAAAAGTATTAAAAATATTATCTACAAATTACTGAATCAAGCAAAGGCATGGTCTGAAGTTTAACACACTTACAGTAAGTAACAATTTTTTAGTGAAGTATCTTACCAGCATAAATAGCTTCAATAATTAGGTCTTCAAGGTCTCTCACATTCTTAATATCTAGTTCTTGCAACAGTACAGAATAAGGTATACACTGAAAAGAGGAGAATTATCATTAAATTACTCTTTAGCATTGATGAAGGAAATACAAGCAAGTGATTTTGTTTGAAAAACAAAGAAAAAACGAGATAAATTAAAAGATATTAAATGTTGCTTATTGTGAAAGATAATAGTTTCAAGAGATTTACATATGAAGTTCCCTTAACAAGAGTCTGTGGTGTAGCTGAACTTGAAGCTGAAAATAACTTATAATTCTTTTATTTGAGGATAAATTGCCACAATACGAAAACTCAAAAGAAACTGGTGACAAACAGCACTGATTTGCTATACCAGAACCACAATCATTAAGTTGGGTGCAGCAATCTAAGGAATATTTTGCACATTTCAAATCCTGTATGTCTTTCAGTGATTATTAAGAACAAACATCACTATATTGCTAACCCAGTGCTGATGATTTTTTCCCCATAGATAAAACCTGCAAGTTTCAATTCTACATTTTATTGTTCAGAAGAGATTTAGAAGGTCTTATTCAATGTATAGCCTACCTAAAAAAAAAATTCCTTTATTGGTTTAATACGCTGTATTAAATGTACTAGACTTCAGCCTAAATATTTAATAGAAATGTTTATTTTAACAGAATCTGCTTAGATCAAAAATGAAATTAATTAATAATTAACTCATAAATAATTTATAAACATTTTAATTATTAAAAGAAGTTTCAGAAAGGGGCAATTTGTCATTAAAAATTAAATTTAAAGCCATTCCCCTCTATGAAAAAATAAAAGTAACAAAACACAATTTAATTCAATAAAACAAAAGTTCATAATGCATACATGAAAAGTAAAATTCTGCTACAGGTTTGCAGTAAACACCAAACATAAACTATAACTACTTCATAATATAAAAAATTACTTATCCTTTCTCCACTACCATTTTACCAATTTTTTTAAATCAAATGATGTACATCACAAGCCCATTTCGGACTGACAGTTAAAAAAAAGTAAATATAACTTTTTGACAAGACAGACATTTTTCTACAATATTCATAATAGAACTACACAAAGAAACAGAAAACATTGCTTTCAGAACTACTGTATAAAATAGAAGACATTACTAGAGTACAATTTTAATTAAACAATAAATAAAATTTTGAATTTATACAAAAACTTTTAACGCATTTGCACATAAATTTAATGTACAAATAAATATTAGTGTAATTCTCAAGCATGGCATTCAGTTCATTTTACTGTTTACTGATGTTAATAAATAATTGACTTTTTTCAGGAATTTATTTTAGGTAAAAGGTATTTTATTTCACTATTGATTAATTTTATTTGCATAATCAATTTATGTAACCCAACATTTTTGTTTTGTAAAAGTAATTTATTTTATTCACAATTAACTAAACTTTTCTCTTCTGAATACTAAACATTGCATAATAGCTTCAAAGATGTAAAAGAAAGTTGAATGAAGATATGAAACTAGATGGGAAGAGAAATGTAAAAAGAGAATTATGGTAGTATTAATAAAATTAAACAATAGGTATGCAGACATACAAATAAAAGTTACACAGATCATTATTAATGATTAAAATTGATACAGTAACTTAGCAAGTGTAGAATAACGAACAATAATATTGCTAGATGTAAAATACTTTCTGACATTACATTACCATTAAGACAGTTCCTCAAATCATTAACTTGAATCCTTCTACCACAACTGAATCATCACAAAATAACCAAAGACTTTGTTATGCATAGCAGAAAGGAAAGAAAGAAAAAGCATGGATTTAGATAAGTAACAAAATCAGTCTGTGAGATTCATTCAAAACAAATATTGTTTACAAGAGATGATACATCAATGTTACAGAAACAAGTATTACTGAACATGAACTCAATGAATAAAAACATAAGAAAGTAACATTTTGTCTAATTTCTATATTTCTCATCCTTCTGAACCAGTGGTTGTGTTCTATGATGCAACATAATGTCATGAAGCATTGTTATTAACATTTGCTCAAACCCAAAACTCTCTGGAAACAAAAAATATTAAAAACAAACAAGCAACAGTCAGAATAATGAAAATAATACAATGTTGGTCAGAGAAATTTGAATGTCTATCTACAAAGAAAAAGCAACTTGTATTATAGTTGTGTTGTGGAAGCAAAGAAAGATTAATCAAATTGTAGAAGTTGCACACCTGTTCGATATGCAACACACAATATGTCTTCACCACACTGTAATATTTGCTTTGGCATCCAAGTAAATTGGTTCAATTGGTCTTTGGTTCATTAAGCCAAATAAACTCACCTTTGTTTTTGTGGCTAGGGTAACAATTGTTAAGTGCTGCAATTTCTTCTTTTGCATGGGAGATAAATCAAGCAACTGAGCTTTATTTTCTAAATATTGTCGGTATGTTCCATAAGCAAATAATCTTAGTAGCTGATAGTAGCTTGCGTGAGGCCCAGGCTCCAACTAAAAAGAACAAGGGTACCAGTGAAATTCATGATAACAGATGGTGATAAATATTATTTATGGATCATATGGTATGGTAGTATACAGTGGGAGTTCAAACCAGAAAGAAAAAGACTGAGTAATTGAATACTTCAGCGTAACAAGGTCCTTGTTGCCAAAATCAAATTGCATAAAGACAATGAGAACTGGAAGAAAATTTGAGGTTTCATTGAATGTTATCAATATGCTTCTACATTTCTCTTCTTTACCTTTTTTTATAGTTCTTGTAGCACTATTTTACTACATTTTCAGTCAACATATATCATTACACCAAAAATATTGTCTTTGATCACAATTCTTTAACAACAACAACAACAACAACAACAACAATAATAATAATAATAATAATAATAATAATAATAATATCTCAATGAACCTAGATGTTGCAGGAAGATTACCTCAAACATAACAGTTACTACATCCTAAATTGACTGAATTAAATTTGTGTTACACTGACCTCAATAATATTTGGCATATCAAGCAATTCACCAAATACATGGACTCCAGGTGCTTCAAGTACTTGTTTAATTAACTCAACTGCTGCTGCACCCTTAGCAGATTTAGCCAACAGCACAAACTGCTCCAAGGGATTATTACTAGTGGCTGGTACTTTTTCAGTTGTCATACTGTTTTTCTTTACCCTGTAAGAGTGTATAAATTAATCTGAAAATAATCATTTTGGTAATTAAAACTTCAACATAAATCGAAGACATAATTAGGGCATTCAAATACTATGAACTAAAGATTAAAACGTCATAAAGACTATATGTATTATATAACACACTTTCGAGATTTAACTTCGTAAAGACACTGTCTGGATTTTTTCAAAGGAAATCAAATTCAAAAACCATGAAAACTTCTCCACTGGCTCAACAACGAGACTACCAAGTTCCTTTACTAACAATAAGAAGTCAAAGAAACGTATAGGTTATGTTCATCGCGTTCATTCACACATTCAAGGTACTGTAATTTAACTTCATTTGCATATTGATTATAAAACTACAAAATTTTCAAGCAAAAATGTATTAATAAATGTACGCAATCTCCGAACACACCTTGCATACAACACAGTTATGTTTCTACCACTTCGATCAACAGCGCTCCTTGTTCTCAACACGATGTCACAACGTCTCGTTCGTCTCGTTCACTTTGGTCAGATACCAACAAAACCACTGGTTACTCTCTTCCTCAGCTTGGGAGAAGTTTCTAAATTCGCTAGGGATCGTCTTACGCCTACTCGGTGCTGATAATCAGGGCCTTATAACTCCCATATAACGTGGTGGATACCATTATGGTGGCGCGCTCTGCAGCATCACCTTCTTTACAGGAACTAAAACAGAAACTGCTGCCAACAATACTTTAAACGTGCGTGACTGCTGAGTGAGTTCGCGGGTCGCAAGCAGGCCCATAATGTTACAAAAGATAACGTCTACGTTCGCGCTTTCTTCAGAGGTTTCTTATAAGTATATATAATGAATAATTGTACATTTAGAAGACACTTTTCGTATTTCTCACAAATTAGCCAATTTGTATGTGGGAAAGTTGGCGATCCTAACCTGCAGCTGCAGCCGGCGACACTAGCGCTTCCTATAGTAGCAACCTCGAGTTTTGTCCCCGATTTTGATGGAGAGTTGCCGGGCCCTGCTGATAATCCCACCGGCACCGGGATCTGGATCTTGGCATAAAAAAACACAGACAATCGCTGACACTTCGATTTACACCGACCTCTTTTCGCCGCCGCTATTCGATGGTTCTTTCGACTACGCATCGATACAAATCTTATTTCAAGCAGTGACTCAAAATTTCTTATTTGATGACTGAATAAAATTTCAATATTTCTCCAAATAAAACAAACGCAGCTTTTTTTTATTATTCAGGATTAAATAAAACTACAATTCTGAAATGCGATCTTACAGTCTCAATACAAATCACGAAAATGTAAATTTCTAAATGAATATGCAATGTAAAATCTATCATTACTGAATGTTATTGACTTGGATTTAACATTGAGTGATCTATTGAACACAAGTAAACGAGATTAATCTTAGTAAGGTTCTTTTGTAAATCATTTCTTGTTAATAATTTTCAAATGCTATGTAAACATGGTATGTAGTACTGCAATACTCACATTCAAAAACTCGTCTGTAAACTAAAAATACTAGAATCTTGGCAGTCAGTTGCGGCTACCGTGGTTGTGCCACAGCGTCGCGACTGTGATACGTCTCTCGTACCTGTCAGAGTGATGTTCGAATAGTAGCGCACGACATACTACTATTAGGTAAACTGGTAGGTAATTAGGTAAACATACTACTATTAATTATTATTATTATTATTATTATTATTATTATTATTATTATTATTATTATTATTATTATTATAAACCTCCCCTTTTTACACTTCGTACTTCTTGTACCCACGAATGATACCACTAAGTAATTTGCATGTTTATCTTTCCCGTCACACGAGATGCCACAACTCGAGTGACTCGCAATGGTCGCTGAAGAGTGGGAAAACTTTCGAAGATTTTATTTTAATAATTAAAAAATTAAGCTTAGTTAATAGTAATATTTAAATTTTTACTTTTCAATGCTTTTTCACTCCTAAATAGCATTAAACAGGAATAAAAAATAACATAATAACAGACATCAACATTTATCGAAATTATGTTAATTCTATAAAACTACTTAACCTGACTAGAAAAAAATTGAGAGAAACAAAGAGCCCTTAGGATTTGATAATAGTGGTTCGATTCCCAGGATTCTCTAGGGCTAAAGGGAAACTCAGGATAAGATGGTAAAACGTTCCCCTTAAACCAAATGATATTCAAATAAAAAAATCGTTACAATATAACTCTAACATCAAAATAAAATTTTTGAAAGGTTTCATAGCCTCCGTCCCACCACCCACATCCTTCTACAGCTAAACCAGGAGAGGGGGCTCAGGGCATCAACTGATGTCACTGCAATGCCTCTGACCTGAAGGTCCTAGGTCCGAGTCCCGACGAAGGCAGGATTTTCGACACTAACTAGGCCGAATTCAGTCGGTGTTTGGAGGAGAATTCTAACGGCCGGCTGCTCAAATGGGTAGTTCGTGGTTTTTCCGATCAACTCCAGGCGGATGACAAAGCAGTATCCTAAAAAACGGGCCACGGACCACGCGCAATCTTACCTTCCTTTTTCTCGTCCTATCCTCATCCCTTACTTACACACACTTTTAAGCTTATATGCACTACACTACACATGCCGGGGGTCCGGTCGGGAGCTTAGAGCTTGTCCCAGCTTGGGAGGTGCCTACTAGTGGGAGATACCTGATTAGGGAAAATCCTGTTAGCTGATGGCAAGTCGGCGCCTGATCAAGCGGAGGAAGATCACCGCCACCCCCAGAGGAGAAACGTGCACTAAACTTACGGGACCAACGACCTTAGCCGTTGACGCGCCCGAAATCACTAACCAGCAATCAATCTACAACTAAAAACGTATTTTTTAATTTTAATTATTTTGTCAACTTAACACTTTATTATTGTAATATTTTTTTTGAAACATTGAAAAAATATTAAAAATAAGAAAACGTTGTTTGATATTTTTAAATCCCAAATTCAACTGCCGAGTTACAAACAAAATAAATGACAAATCCACAACAAATCGCAAAAAAAGGAAAAGCAACAAAAACCAACTATTTTTTACTGTGTCTTAGAACCCTGTCTCGAAAAATATCTCAAAAATTCCTCTCAAAACACAAATCGTTGCGGTTTTTTTATCTGTTCGATTACTGGACTGTAGATGAAATTAAAAAACATTTTACCATTTCCCGCTTTTAAATCACCTTCACTTTCAATTCACTTTGAAAATGACTGCATCAGTCCTGTGCACTTATTATAGTGGTTATCATACATTTGTATACATTGTTGTAACAATCAGTTATATTTTGATTTTAGAATGTAGTTATAAATGATCATGTATATCATACGCTAAGGAAAGATTATAGTGTTTGGCAGTTTATAAGAAATCAAGTTCGGGCACAGATGAATAAATAGGGAACGAAGGGGAACTCGTTGGAGCTGAATTTACAAGAACTGTTTTACTATGTCTTATTTTTAGAACAACGGCCCAGGCACGAAAAAATCTCAAAACACCCGTAATAGTGAATTTAAAAAAATCAATTGTTGGGCCATTGTTACAAGAAAACTAAGACATCTGTAGTTAACTTCTTGGCTGTGTGGGAGACGCCGCGTCCTAGGCACCTGCAAACTTCTTCCAGGTGGAAGGTCGCAGAATGGCGGCCGGAACCTTGACACCTGTGATGTAGATGTGTCTCCTGGACAACCAAGAAGTTACTGATTGCTGGCGCGGAAGGCTTCGCTATCACATCTGTAGTCGTCTCAGACGATAAAAAGTTGTCTTTTCTTTTATCTAAGTATTTATTCTTGGGTATAAATAAGTACATACAACCCGGACACGTGCGAAAACTCTTCTCTTCGAAAATAATAAATGTATGAACACTGAAAACTGATTTCATGTAGCGCCTAACTGCAAACACTCATCCTCTAAAATGTGTTTTAGAGCTTAATAGGCTCAGTACTGTGTGCAAAAAACCATTCCAATATTGCTGAGCGTTGAGATTAAAATGCATATAAAATGAAATAGTTTTTTTAAATGTTACATTAAAAGATAATTTCGATATTTTCCTTCGGTTTAATCTTACATGGATGTCGATTTCTTCACTTTTCTGACCACCCATGCTTTGGAATGGGGGCACTCAAAAGAATAATATGTGCAAAATTGAAAAAGAACTTTCAAAAATGTCTCATTAGTCATCTCGTGGCTAAGAGAGAAGTCAGAGAGAAGTCGCTTGCCTTTCACCGAAGAGGCCCGGTTCGATTCTCGGACAATTTCATGTGAAATTTGTTTCGAAAAAATGAGTTTGGCTGCTTTTCAGCGGCTAGTTCAATCCCTGTAAAACCCTACCACTATCATAATTCCGCCCCAATTCTGGCCGCTGGGTAGTGACGCAGGAGCGCGTGTAGAAGCGCGTACGCGGGGGTGCTACCTGGCGGTCCTCTTGACGAGAGACTGTCTACTTTTATAGATTCCCTTATGTTAAAATCTATAACATGGTCGCTAATGACCTAGTGGTTAATGCAACCTAAAAATTTAAAAAAGGCTTATTTTTTAGAATATTGTCTAAGAACATAATCGGTTTCCAACCTGTCCTCCTTCTCTTCCCCACAGTACTATCTTTTGTTACTCATCATTACAAAATTTTCCTTCCCATATTAATCAAATAAAAGATTCAAAATAAAATAAATTAATTTTTATACTTACTTTACTTTTACTTTTCTCTAAAAATGTCTAAAACCAACTTCTTTCTTCAGTATTTCTTTTTTAGGAAATATACCGTAAATGTTCAAGAAAGATATAGTTAAAGATAAAACTGTTTGTAATTATTCAAAAAGTATGTAAAAATTATATGACACAAATCTGATATTTTTTAAAATATTCATGATTCTCGATAGGTGCAAAAATATAGAATATATATTTTTATAGACTATATATGTATTCGCAAAAATATAGACAGTATCTCCGTTGAGATTAATGCATGTGTACTCGTATGCAGTGCCTGATTAATTTCAATGATTACCATCTCATGTGTAAGATTGGCAACAACCTTAATACACTTGTACTTCGGATTGAATTATTTTTTTTAAAATTTCTGTTTGCGTCTTCAACGAATGTAAAGAAGTTGATAGTAATGCTACATGTAATACCTGATGATGGGGTCAAATCATGTGCTTCGAAACGTTGCCTATCCATAAAAAAAATAATATAGGCAAGAAATAATATCTTTATTTTTACTGACACGTTATTGCGTGTTATTGCCTTCGATACAGGGATCGAAATATATTGCATAACTTACTTGGATCGAGAGGTCGTGATTACGAGGGGAATATGAAAACAATTTAATGATGTCACATGTTTTCTTATGGAGGGTTTACAAGAGGGGATTATGAGAGGCAAATCGGAAAACAAACTAAGCCAACACTAGTTAATTAGTAAATAAGTTCATTTGAATTAATTAGGTAAAAAATAAAATCTTGTGTGTACCACGGGCATTAGTTGATTCTAATGTATCGGGCTACAAAAAAGCCCTCGGCCTTTTTGCCTCTACTCGACCATTAGAACCCTTGTAACACCCTTGGTGCATAAATAATTATTGTTGGTCTCAAATAATTGGAACAGTTGAAGTTATTCATGCGTATAACCAGGGGGAGGATTTTAATGAAATGTTATTTTCTTTTCACTTTAGAACAATGTCGTTCAGTATATAAATTCATTTTATGTTAAGACAAAACATGACCCATTTTTATGTCTTTTTTTTTTTTTTGCATTTTTTGTTGATTTTTACTACAAAGTCATTTTTCCGTTTTTTACGACATTTTTAATGCATTTTTGCTGGTTTAATCGATTTTAAAATCATTTTAATACTGACTTCAAACAATATTTACGAGGGGCAACAAACGTTCACCAGAGAATTCCTGAGAAGGATAATCGATTTGGATCGAATTTCTTCGCTCATATATTGTAATGTCAGCCGTTGTGAGTACTATCTAATCTAAGGTTCCTGTGATGCCCATCAGCATCATCGTCAGTTCGGCCCATTTCGCGGTAAATAAAGTCAGATATTTTCTTTTAAAGAACAGTCCAAACCAAAAGTTTGCAATCTGAGTTCACTTAAACAATAGGAAGAAGCCTCGAGTACATAAGAAACATACACATCTGCTTGAGCTGTTCATCTGAAGTAGTTGTGATCAACTTTATAACATCATTTTTCTTTGTTTTAGGGCTATTTAAAAGCATTTAAAGAGCATTTTATTGATTATTGTTGCCAATGCTTTAGGTCATCAAAATCCGCTGCCCTACTTGTAACTGATATTTTCGTTTCTTTCTAGAGAAATACTTGTATTTATTAGGAATTGCATAATCATTTTTGGGTCGAGATCAAGTCCGACCATGAATCTTTACGATTAGATGCAGCTGTGATAATTGGCTTGGTTTCGTGAGATTACCAGAGGCGCCCATCTTTGTGTATTACTATGGAACCCGCATACACACAACGCAGTGTATTGCGTCGTCTCTACTGTTGCATGACGTGTTCCACTGTGAAAGTTTGTCATAACAAAAAATGTAAAACAGCAGTTCACACCGATAGTCATTCACTCCGAGCTGCAAAGTCGAACAGGAACACTGATGAAAAGTGCTACTGCCTGGATACTGGTGCGATCACATTACCAGAGATACTGTACGTATACATTCGAACCATAATGCACCTGGTCAATGAATCTTAAGTTGCCATGTCCATAACTGTCTAATGTTAAAATTTGCAATGCAGAATTGATTAAAGCAGATTATCTGTGAGAACCTTATGACGTAGTCATCATGAGATATACAGTTCTGGGCCACAGAATGTAACGTATTACTCGCGCAACTTTTCTTGAATGATGACCTAGCGTCCCCCTCTCTGTCACAATAAAGAGTTGAAGGTAAAAGCTCTCAGCGAGCACTGATGACAACATTCCAAATACATTTTCACTGGCGCGAAATAGAAACTATTTTTTGATGAAAACTACTATCCGAGAATTTCTTCAAACAAATCTAAAGAATTGACCGAAGTACGTGAAGATCCATCACAGGAGATACCTCGAACTCCTGAAAAAGTTAGAACACAAATGACTGAGAAAGTTGCGAAAGCATGACTGATTCTCCATAAATTGGCATTCCTCCATAAAATCTAGGGGCCGATTTCGCAACTAATACCCCCACTCTTCCACCATTTCTTCAATCCATCGTTCAAGAAAAGGTTCGCGAGCAATACCTGGTTTCCCCAATTATGTGATCTAGCGGTCCAGCGTGAACGTTAGTGTACATGTGTGTGAGCGTATTTCGAAACATCTTTACACGTTTTCGGTCAGAAAGGCGCACGAGTGCAAATACAGGCAACGTATGGGCAGTGTGTGACATAGGACGACACTGTTCGAAAAGACAACACCTGGAGTATGTAGAAGTGGTACTTATTCGAATAACGACAATTTTAGTGATAATAATGATTTTCTCATAATTTTTTAGTAGTCACACAAAATATGTGTAAATGACAATTTGAATAGCAAATAAAATATGTAGTTACTACATTCCTAATATCCGAAGAACCAGAAATCCATAGGACGCTTAGATCTCATACATACTTGTTATTTTATTTTAAGAAACAGAAGCTGGCAGCTGCACTAAAAAGGAAAGGTAAATAGGTGGTAAGAGGCAGAAATGAAAACTCTGAAAAATTTGTCTTAATCATTTTAATATGTTGATAAAGAGCTTAATTCATACAAAATGATGGACAAAGGTTTCCAAGTACATACCTCGCTTCTCGCTTCTCAATTGTTTGGCACATTGCAAAGTGCGCGGCTGCCTGCGGCCCCGCAGCGCTGCCAACCTTTCGGAAGAAAGCGCGCAATGGGTTAGGTTTTTCCCTTCTCTAGCCGCAAAGCTAGGCATTGCAAACCAACTGTTCAACACAGCAATTTTCAACTAAAAAATCCCTCCCTAGGATATTTTAAGAAACGAAACATAAGGGTTGGAACGAAGGGTGAAGATCACTACAGTTCGTCACATGAAATCACTAAGAGTGAAAGTTCATAAAAATAAGGGCCACCGTTCGAACGGTATCACAGCTAACGGGGGAAGTTGCTAGAGACCTACTCCGAAACAAAGACGCCAACGGCGCCCGGCGGGAAGGGGGCGGGGCGGGGCGAGGCGAAGACCGGGAGAAGGCGGGGAGGAGGCGAGGGCGACACCCCCTCGCAGCAGGGGGGTGCTGGGGAGGTAGGGCGGGGTTTGGCAGAGGAAGCGGCGTCGCTGCAGTTCGTTATGCTCTCAGTACTACGCTTCATTTGTTACGCAATTTCGCGCAGAAAAATCAACCACACGTTGAACGACTCATGATATTCTTTGAACAGTTACCTTATTAATTTTTCGAAAAAACGGGGACGAAAATCTTTCAAGATTAGCATCCATGAAACATTCCATAGGTAAGAAGCAATTACACATATATATTGTGTGTATATGTTAATCCAATTATATTGAATAAAACAATGAGTACAATTACGTAATTATCGAAAACACATACAAGTGAACAAAGTAAGGAAAACTGTTGTTTATAAAATTTAATTTGCGATTAGTTTCTCGCTTATGAAGCCAATTTTTAAAGATTTAATCATGAACAATAAAATCGGTAGAAAGATGCAATTAGTCGAAAGAAGAAAAATGTTATCATCACATTACAATAAACATTTTGTAGTCGTACCAGGTTGGTTATGAGGATGAGAATATTGGAAAATTGTAGTAATATCGAAAAGTACTCGTAAAAATATGCAAGATACATCTTCAATCAATCTCCGATTAGAAACTAAAGGAATCGAATTATTATGATCAAAAATTTCCACATTTTGACATTTGTAACATAAGAGATAATGTTTTCCATTGGGGGTAATTCTCAGTTGCATGCAAAGAGAGGGGGCTAAATTACAATAGACGCAGTACATTGACACAGAAAAATACATCAATGTGATTGAACATTAAGTACACGCATCTGAAACTTTTTTTCCTAAACAGTATGCATCCGACACTCCACTAACACACTTAACGCAAGGCGACTTGGGAAAGAGTGTTATTTTTAATCACTGAAAAGAGATAATTAGTGTTTTCACAGAGCCGTCAATCTTGCATTGTGTACATTTGTAAACCTTCGGTAAGATAACTGTTTCTCTACACTTTTGCATGCAATGGAGATGAACATTATCACGAATTTATTCACTTCAATAGGAGGTACCGATTTTCACTATTTATTGAAACAAAATGCGTTCATCCAAGCGAGATTATAGAAAATGATGTAAATTTGAATTAATTTCAAAAGTTTGGATTTCGAAACTTTTTCTTACTGTTACAGGTCCGTCGTTTCTTGTATTCCATGCTACAAATAGTAACATCTGCTAGAAATTGCTCAATTATTTGAAGATACTTTTAGCTATTTTTCATGTTAAGCCAATTAAAAAATGTAAAAAATCCCTTATAACGCGTTTCTTACAATTTAGAAATATGTGTAGTGATACTCTCTATAACTTGCTACATCATTTCAAGATTATTTAAAATATCAATTTTATGTCAAAATCTCATTTTTAGAGAGCCAATGAACATTCACAGTCATTAGCTTTTTCCTCTGCCCGAAATAGGATAAGGAAATAATACAGAGTACACACGCACGGAAACAAGGCGAGGCATAGAGAAAATACATATACATCAAGAAACATTCTAAGAATAAAAAAAAAAATGCAGACTCCACCAGAGCGTTGTGGAGAAACTAAAGGAAAATTACCTTGTTTAAGGTAAGGTGATGAGACGAGAAGAAAAAGAGAAGAAAAATAGGGAGAGGAGGAGAAGAAGAAGAAGGAGAAGGAGGGGGAGAAGAAGAAGGAGGTTGGGAAGGAAAAGAAGGAGCCAAGAATAATAGGGAGAGAAGAAGAAGAAGAAGAAGAAGAAGAAGAAGAAGAAGAAGAAGAAGAAGAAGAAAAGGAGGGGTGGAAGGAAGGAAGAAGGGGCGCGGCGGGGCCGCCGCGGGCGCCGACGCGCGCTACGATCCACGTGGGATTATTGCCAACAACGTGTAGTGTAAAGTCTATTGCTGAGACGCTACGCTGAGTTGGACGAAATGACGGCTAGCTACCTGCCTGACGACTACGCTACGAACAAGAAGAAGGGCTCTCCACACCCCGCCGTCGCCGCGCCATCTCCACGTTCATTCAGTTATATTTACAGGGGTTTAAGGGCCGTTCGACGTCCGAGGTCATCGAGACCCGCGAACGATGCTTCAATGAGAGCAGGACGTCGAACGCATCCGCGGTCAGCGTCATGACCTGGGCTGAGAGAAGGGCGCCGCGCGGAAGGCTGAGGTGCCGCACCTCATCATGCGACGCGGCGTCACACGGAGAGCCCACGTCATGAGTGCATGATGGCGATAATGACGATGAGGTGAACGATGGCTCAGTGGAATGAAGAGTCAGGAGAAACGGGAGAACCCCGAGAAAACCTGCCGAGAGCACGCTTTGTCCACCGTTATTTCCACGTGAAGTGGCTGAGGGTCGAGGCTCGAACCCGGGTCCCAGCGATTGAAGGCGCATGCTCTAACCACTGCACCTCGAGAGTGACCCCGTCCTCCCACACCACGTGTGCGTGCGGAACGCACCTGGCGCCTTTGCCCTGCCAAGAGCACTCTCCGAACTGCGGCGATGGTCGCTATCCAGAACGGAGACCGGAGAGATTTCATTCTACCGATGCCCTTGGGTTTAACACGAGTTCATTTTAATCAGTTTTCTCTGCCTCTTCTTTATTTACATTTTCAGTGACTTTTATGGAAGCTTAGTCATAAAAAATATCATCAATACTACTCAGGCAAACGATCGAATATCAAATTTAAAAATATAATTTTCGGAAAGGAAATCTCTTCGAGACGTATTTGAATTAAATATCAATTTCATACTCAATATTCAACAATTTATGAAGTTAATAGGAGAATACAGGAGAACATAAACAATATGTTTATCAATGTGCAGATGTTACAAACATTCCGAAATGCTGTTTAGAGTTAATAAAATATTAACAAATAATTTTTTAGGCGAAGATATATTTAATTTGATAAAATTCGTGAGAGACTAGAACTTGACAATATATTTTGTTTAAACCGATGCCAAATATTCCAAAATATTGGTTTATTTTAAGTCTTCTTTACATTTGAGAAAAAAGTCTTTTGTATTTTAATAAACATAATATATTAAGAAAAACTGCTGAATTTAATATAAGATGAATTAATACTACTTTACTTCCGAAAAACAAACGGGAAAAGAATCGTTTATCGATAGAAAACAAAGTTCATATGAAAGTTGTTCGTATATGTTATAAATGATATCAATTTTCTTTACAATGAAATTACTCAAAGAATTATAATTAAATATATTTTATATAATATTTGAAAAAATATGTGTATAAATTTAATTCACGAGCATAAATCGTACTAATTAATTCATATTTATTTTACTTCACTTGCAAAAGATAAATAATTAACTTTTAAAAGTAGAAATTGGCAGGCGCTAAATGAAGAATTCGAAATATGAAAGAAGAGTTCCAAACAATGTCAATATGCTTTGCTCATAGTGTTCTTTTCTAGTTCATTTTTTGATACACCCATTTGATTGTTGAGAGTCCGCTTATGATAATGAAATTTTATTTTTCATGCTAATTACTAGAAAATTGCAATATTGCAATATTTGTGATGAAGAACGATATTCTTAAGTTGACGTACAGGATGGTATTCTGAAGTAGATATCTTACTTCCACTTATTTAACTTTGCTAAAAACAATTTTTAAGACATATCCCTCGCACGGAGATCATTGTGAGGAGCAACCCTAAATTGTCATGAATCTGTTGTAATCCAGTAGGCCCAAAGTGTCTGTAACCCGTGACTACCGACAAGGTCGAGCTATGTCCAAACGTACGAAACTCCACGATCTACCTCATAATGACCAACCACAACACCCTCCATCACATTCTTTGCGCATTTTTTCATTCTGTGGGCGACGCGGGGAGAGCGCTGCATTTGGGATGCCAGCGTCTCGGGGAGCTGAATTGGAGTCACGTGAAACTCTGCCATTGTTCATTCCGGGCGCCGCAGCGTGGCGGGCGGTGAGGGGG